TTATCCAACTTTATGATAAGAAAGGAAAACGATGCATTTACTATTCAAACCTTCAAACGATTCCATTCTGAGACGACTTTGTCAATGTTGCATCGATTCTGAATAAGTAAAGCCTGGTAAAACTCTTTCAGTTCTAAAATTGCCTTGTCGCCATACCGCTTAAGTGCTTCGTCGTCCTTGGGCCACATTGCAAAGTCCAATATGACTGGCAGATTTTTAAAACACCACACTTTCTCGGAACTCTTCAAATCTTCCTTGCACACTCCTAGACACTGCATTAATCATTTTTTCATAAGTTTTCCATACTTTCCTCCGGGACGCATTAAACCCTTTTAGCTTTATTTTTTGGTAAGAAACATCTTCAGAAACAGAAAAGGCAATGTTACGACATAAAGTATTACATTTACAAAACACTAATTATAACATTTAAAAGTACCTGCTTCATCTTCATCGTCTTCAAGTTCTTCCACTTGATGCCTGGTAATTTTTTGACGTTTTGTCAAAGGTTGGTGAGGTTCTACTGTGTAAAAAAACATTTCAAGCGTTCGTAAAGTCAGGGACTCATTCATCACTTACTTACCGTCGTCGGACGTTGTGAAATTGTCGTTGGGAAATTGTTCATGTGAAACCGGGAAAAGCAATCCTGTATCATCTTCTTAAGGCCATCTGCACTTGTTGATGTAGGTGATTCAATTGCTAAAAACCTTATTTGAAGGATACCTGTCCATTGAAAAAATAGAAATAACGCATCTAAAGACAAGAATCGAAATAATTCAGTTCAGTGTATTGCATTTACCTTCACTGCTTATAAAAAGGAGATACAAAACTTCCTGTTCAGAAACGCCGTTGTCAGTGCTGCCGTCGGTCAACAAAGAAAAATAGCGTGTTTTCTTCAATTCAGACATCAGCTTCTGCTTGAATTTGTCAGCAATTGAATCAGTGATGTTTGCCATAGCACGCTCGTTTCAGAATTTGGAACTGCGAATCATTCCGTTCATTTCGTTTAACGTAATGATGCCCTCACTATCGCTATAGGGTCTTTCTGAAGTGGCTAAATAGTAGGCAGTGTTGAAACGAGTAATCATTACTTTCCTGTCAATCTCTGCCATTTTCATCAAACCGCTTCCAATTGGAGATCGTTCAACAACTTGTGCGCCAAAAATTTCGCCCAAGGACTTCTGATCAAAAAGACGTTTTGCATGTTGATGTGCTTTACCTTGGACATGTTTTTTCAAGCTATCTAATTTGACTGATGTTGTTCCATCTGTCCATGCTTGCGAAAAACCAGCTATTGAAGAAATTGTTGAGGAGAATTCCACACAGACAGAACATTTTAACGCTTCTACTTTTTTCTTATCTGTACTAAGACTTTTGATCAATTTAACGTTTAAATCTCGCTCCCAATTTTCTACAGTCTTTTGCTTCGCCATCGTTAACGTATGCAGTGTGTATTAGTTTGTGACTTTGTCACTTCGCGTTTTCAGATAATATTGAAAATGTTACGTTTCATATTACAATTGATAGCGACGTTTTTTAAAAAGTTGCGACCATTTTAGGATAAATTCCTGTTAGTCACATTCCTGAGGCATGATGTAATAGCAACGCTTTGAAATTATGCAAATAGTGCAAGAAATTTGATCATTTGATATTTCTTTTGACGTATTTTAAAACTTAGGGAGTGGTCGCAAAGTATAATAAAAACACATCCATCACAGCAATATAAAAAGAGTGCTTTCAGTAAGCAAATTTACATTAAATAACAAGAAATGCGAAATGAGCTTCGCAATTTTACGAAATTTGCTTCGCAATATTTCGCCAAAATCGAAATCACTTCGCAATTTGCGATTTGCGAAGCGCTAATTCGGACCTTGATAGATCAGAATCATAACTACATTTCTTGTTGAGAAATATATATACAGGATCACTTTTTCAATCAATGTGCCAGAACTCTTTCACTCTCCTTTTCATGGTATGACAAAGACAACTTTTATCTATGAAAGTCCTTGCTAATCAAATTTACAATAAAACAAAGTTTCAACCCAAGCAAAAAACCCCAGCTTTCTGGCTTCTGAAATGACTCACTGAAAAATATTCTTTCTTGAACTGTAAAACATGATCTTGAGCATAAAGCCTTAACTGAAGATTAACAATAATCACAACCTATGAAAGAGATTGTTGAAAAATACAAAAGTTTACCACTTCTGACATATTGTAAACAAATAGTAGCTAAGTTTGTTCTAAGAATCATATAATGTTGAGTTTTAGCTTGGTATTTTGAGATTTTATGCTTCTTAACTGAGATTTTAACTTCTTTTGCAAAATACCTCTCAGTTGTATACAGAATGCAATAAGAATGACTTTAGCAATATTTACACTAACTCTTGATTAGCAATGGAAGTTTATGGAACTTACAGCCTTCTTTATTTTTGTACCAAGCTGCGCTTTGGCCTTTCGGTTTACAACCACAAAGGAACCTGCATCCCTTCTAGCTTCAAGGTATGAGTAATGGAACGATAACCACTGGAATTTCCAGGTCCATCAAGCTCCTGCCGAATACGCTGGCGAACACTGTTCAAATCAAACTCATTGTTTTTTCTTCGTAAACCAAGCGCTCGAAGTCTTGTGTGTAAAGTTCGTAAAGACATATTAATATCATGATATCGCCTTAAGAGAAGCAGGATTTTTTCATTTGCAAAACCTTGCGTAAAATAGTTCTTAATTACATCGTCTTCGCCTTTAGGAGCTTCTTCGTTTTCCTGCATTTTAGTTTGTGGTAGTTTTAATTTACAAGGCAATAAACAAAAATCCTTTTATTGTCACCCCCCGGTTAAAATTTGTTGTTCCTAGTCTCCTGGTGATATGACCGGTAGGCTTTGTTATTGAACTTTGATTTTGCATTGCGAAAACTGATTTCGTGCATTTTTTCAGTTTTATTTTGCATTGCAATATTCAATTTGTTTATAACTTTTAGTTTGATTTGCATCGTGGCAAATTTGTTGTGCATTCAGCATATTATTTTTGTATCAAATACATTGTTTTTGAATTTAAGAGAATGTTTGTGCATTGACAAATTAATTTGTGAATTGCAGATACGGGCCACCGTACTTTTCTTTTAATAGATAACCAAGGAGCAATGAATCTAGCTAAAAACCTAGTTCATCATCAAAGATCAAACATATCGACATTAGATACCACTTTATCAGATCAGAAATTCAGCAAGGAAGAGTTAGTTTAAAATATGTACCTAGTGAAGACAACATAGCATATATTTTTACAAAACCAACAAGCAAAAATAAATTGAATAAATTTAGGCAGGCAATATTAGGAAACGTACGGCAGAAATTCTAAAGTGCGCATAAGTAAGGCCAAAGGTAATTATCAGTTTAGGAATAATAATAATAATAATAAAAAAATTAATAAAAATGTAGGATGCTTAGAACATAAGAGCAAGTGGGGGTGTTAAGATGCTCTGTAACAAGTGCTCTCATATTCTTCCTGTCATTAGTAAATAACTAAGTCAAGTGTAACTAACTAAATGATTATTTTAAGAGATACTTATGTGCAATAATGACAATATTTTTTATAGTTCCTAATAGCTTTCCGTTGATTGTAAATTAACCATATTAACCATAACCATAATTAACCATATTTAGTAAAGAAACAAATATATCCATACGTAATATCGTGTATAAATAGAAGTAGCTTAACCATCGTACGATAGATCGTGATCATGGCTACATCACAAAACATAAGAAAGCGCAATGCTGGTCGTCCAGCAAAATACACGTTTGACGTAAATGCAATTGCTGCAGCCATGTCAAATGTGTCTGGCAACAGAGACTCTTACAGAGACTCGAACAGCTTCTGGGGGGAAATCCTTCTCAAACTTGGTCTGTGCAACAAATTACTTGCGCGGAAGAACTTGTATGTCAGATGGAAAGAAACAGGAATGGCATGCGAACTACCATCGAGGTACGCAAAGGATATTTGATTTCATGTATTGATCATTTCTTTGACAGTAAAAGGTTTATGAATTTTGTGCGGTTTCAAAATTATCTTAAACTTTCTGATTGGTTGTTTGTGTAAAGATTACGAATTAATTTTTTTCAAAACGTAATGACCGTTTGAATATTTGTCATGTCTTCTGCGCATGCGCTGATAAATAACTGATGTTCGTGCTTGAGAATTATTCAAAGCGAAAGCAAGGCCAAAAATTTTCTGCGAACTTAAATTAAAATGCAGTTTGTCATTTGAGTAATCAAGATTGTTGTATTTTGCTCTATTTGATACGTCGCTCGCTCAGTGCATTGCGATCGAAAATTTATAGCATTTTGTACTTCGTGATGTTATCAGTACAACAAAGACCTTGTATAATTCATCGATATATAGTTGCATAAAATGAAGCGTTAATCCTCACTTAAAGACGAAATAAAAGTTACATCGTCGAAAATATCGCTAACCTATTTATGTAAAACAGAAAAGTTACAAGCGTGTTGAATTATCGGTTGGGTGGAATGTGTACGGGTCAGAAAATTGTTTTAAAAGAGTTTTTGAGGATAAAGTATTCACTGCAAAAATGGTTTTCGGTGCACGATCTTTTGGACTTTACTTTGCTCATTAAGCACAGTCACGTGACATGCAATGTAATGAAGGGCGTCTTGTAAATGCAGAATAGTTTAGATAGTTATTGGACCCACATGTGTGCATAGCTTAACTTTGTTTTTAAGGCTATTGCACTATTTTTGAGGGATTAGCTCGATAAAAATTTGCGTGTATCCATACCAGGAACTGTGGAATACAAGTCAACAAACATCTTCAGTCCCGTTAAAGAAAGGTGTATTTTATGATGAGAAGGAAAAGGCGATTGTAAGTGCTAATTTTGTCGTTCGCGTTATTTTTAGGTGCATTCATATGCGCACATTGAACAGAAACATCAGATTGTTGTTAAACAAATGTGTATGTTTTGAAAAGTGAATACCCCTTGCCCTAACAATGTGAGTACTTCTCCCCAAATGTCAATACCACCCCCCAAAAAAGGTTTATACCCTCCCCCAAAAAGTAAATACCCTCCCCTAAAAAAAGGAATACCTATCCCCCGATATTACCAGACAGCATTCTAGTGTTATTGGTTATTGCATTTGGAGGACATATTTCTTACGTACATTTAATTTTTCCTCATTTCAAGTCTCCCGCATCGAAAGAGGATGATGCAGAATTGACGAGTTGCAACTCGGGACTCATTGATGACAATGACAAGTTTTTCGTTGTGGAGAATGTGGAAATTGTTTGTTTTTAATTTTGTCTAAGTTGCAAAGCAATCTATAGTAATTTGCTATGTAAGCAATTTTTCTTCTTTTTTTTCGTGTTTTAGCGAAGGAATTATGCTGCCTGTGTTATCCAGG